TCTGGCAATAAATAAATAAATAAATAAATAAATAAATTTTGCTTTGTAAAAAATAAATAAATAAATAAATATTTAAAGTCCTTGTCTAGTTAAGTCCAACATCTGGGCTTTCTCAGGACAATTCCTATGTACATTTTCCCTTCTGTGTAGAAATATTTGTTCTTGTCTTTGCATATAACTGTTTTCTTTTTGGAAAACTAGATTTTGCAAATTATAAAATATAGCCACTACAGAAATCATATATAAACCTCAAGACCCGTTGTTGCTGGTTGTTTACTTGTTTAATGATTTCTTCGAATGAATTCTGCATTCTCTGTCAGGTATAGCCACTGAAGTCTGTGCTCAACTACTAATGGATAGCCGGTGACTGACCAGAGACCGCAGGAGTAGCTTTGCTTAATGGTTACCTAGCGACTGAACAGAGATCTCCACGCATTCCTGTTGACATTTGTCAAGGATCTCTGTCTGCTTCTTGGGGCCCAGCCGGGGAGTCTGCAGCTCTGCCTTAGCCTTTGCTGCCTGCCTGCACAGGAGGTCCGGCGTCAGCCAGGGAGGAGACCTTGGACTTGTCAGGTCTTTCCTGGATGCGGACACACATGTGTGTATGTGTGCGTGTCTCTGTGTGTGTGTTCGTTTTGTGTTGCTCTAATAGAATATGCAAGATCAGAGAATTTACAATGAAGGAAAGAGGTTTATTTCAGCTCACAGTTCTGAAGGTGCAAGATCGTGGCACTGGCACAAACAACAACAACAACACATTAATCCATTAACCTCTCACTAGCTCCACCTCCCAGCACTGCCATACAATAGAATGAAGTTTCAACAGGAGTTCCAGTGGGAGAAAAGTCACAGTCAAACCATAGCAGATTTCCAGGAATAGGCTGCAACATAGGCCCCTTAAGGTGGGGGCCAGCGCTATGGCATAGTAGGGTAAACCTCCACCTGCGGTTCGAGTCCCATCCGCTCCACTTCTGATCCAGCTCTCTGCTATGGCCTGGGAAAGCAGCAGAAGATGGGCCAAGCCCTTGGGTCCCTGCATCCATGTGGGAGACCCAGAAGAAGCTCCTGGCTCCTGGCTCCTGGCTCCTGGCTTTAGATCTGCCCAGCCGCTGCCTTTGCGGCCATCTGGGGAGTGAACCAGTGGTTGGTAGACCTCTCTCTCTCTCTCTCTCTCTCTCTCTCTGTCTCTCTGTCTTTCCCTTTCTCTGTCTGTTAACTCTGCCTCTCAAATAAATAATTAAAAAAAATTTTTTTTTGCTTGGTCATCAGCAAGTACTGTATGTACTTTTTTTTTTTTTTTTTTGACAGGCTGAGTGGACAGTGAGAGAGAGAGACAGAGAGAAAGGTCTTCCTTTGCCGTTGGTTCACCCTCCAATGGCCACCGCAGCCAGCGTGCTGCGGCCAGCGCACCGCGCTGATCCAAAGGCAGGAGCCAGGTGCTTCTCCTGGTCTCCCATGGGGTGCAGGGCCCAAGCACTTGGGCCATCCTCCACTGTACTCCCTGGCCACAGCAGAGAGCTGGCCTGGAAGAGGGGCAACCGGGACAGAATCCGGCGCCCTGACCGGGACTAGAACCCGGTGTGCCGGCG